ACGTAAGAAACATTGTTGGCTTTTATAAATTCGAATAAATAAACTAACAATAATTATAATGGAATGGTGATCTTAATTTATTAAACTAATTCTAAAATATTATAAGAGAGTCCCCACAGATCTAGTTAAAAGATATTTTTAAGAATATTATTCATTAAGTATCATTATAGGAAAATAAGATAAAGTTTTAGATATTTGATAAGAGATACCAATTATAATTTGTTCAATAGACTAATTTGATTCTAGAATAATTCCTCTTCCATCAGGCATCTGGATAGCATCACATATTCCAGCGAGTAGTCCCCATGTCACTCTTGAGCATAAACTCCGATATCAGAATTTATTAATTTTATTTATTGTTTAGGTTTAAGTTTTCCAGAACATGAAAATAAATTATGGCGACTTGGGTTCATATAGGTTATGTTATTAATGGAATATTGATCACAGATTTCAGATGTGCCACCTAAGAAATTCAGGTCTCTTTTTGGAATTTGTTTTAATTAAGAATATGTTTACGGATCTGCCGATATTTTTAGCGTTAATTAGAATATGCATACACTATAATTTATTTTCATTATTCAGATAGTAAAATATAATATAAGCTTACCAATCCATAAGAAACGAGAATATTTAGTTGTATTCAAAGTTTTGTTTGGATTTTTTTATTTTAATAAGACAGATATTAATGGAAAGACAAATTTTGTGAAGTTAAAACGTGTTATTCCATAACATTTAACTTTTAATACTACTATATATAACATTATATTATTTTAAACTGATAAAATATTGATTCACATACCTCTGTGCTTTTATTATACAGTTTAGTATGTAAGATGTATATGGTTCAAGTAATAGTAGGAGGGCGATAAAACCGGGTCACCGGTATATATAAGTCCTGTAAATAAAATAAGTCCTAGTAGACATCTTACATACTAAACTGATAAAATATTGTTTATATATAAAATTTATATATATTTATGAATTTTTATTTTTATTTTTTAAATACAAAATATTCAAATATTTAGAACCACTCCAGAATTATAAGAATTTAACATCAACTTAAATAAATCAAAATTTTAAAGACAACAATGTATTTAATAAAAAGAAAAATCTCAGATCCAGATATAGAAAATGAAAAATATCCATTAAATACTTAAAAATACACAATTATATTAATAATAGCTTGCTATATATAGGCTAATACTTAAAAAACTAAATTTTTAAAACTAAAACTAACATGGCAATTTGTATATCTGAAGCATTACTGTATAATAATAAAAATTAACAAATAATTTTCATAATGAAATAAAAATTAATATATTCTTTTAGTGATTTTCTTTATCTTGCTAGGCATTGATATTCTTATTAAGCTATGAAATATGGAATCAACATATAAAACACGCACAAAATCTCAATGTAAAACAGACTTATACTATATTTTTTATAAATAAATTTAATGACTATTATTATTTAATATTAAAATCTATAACAATGCATAAAATATTGTAAGATAAATGATATAAATCCAAAAGTAAAATAAAAAATGTATATTCTATTAATATTATGTTATAAAATTAATAATTAATTAGGGCTAACAGTGAAATTTTATTTATTTAAATTTATATAAAGTGAATTCAGAATTATTGTTTTGTGTAAAGTAAGAAATGTTATAATATGAACTAATTCATATTATCATTTTTAAAAACAATAGACTATATTAATTTCTCTCCAAAATAATGAAATTTATTTAGTGCTTTAACAAAATATGGAGTATTTGCAAATACAATGTATAGGCTATATATATATATATATAGGCTATATAGCCGTTTTCTTTAGAAATCATCCTTATAGAACAATCATATTACAAAATTAATATAAAAATGAATAATTATGAACTTTATTATTTTATTTATGTAGAAATTGTAGTTTAAAATGTATCTAGGTAAGCATATAGCTATTAAAATTTTTATTACGTTAAATTAACAAATATAAATATATTTAAAAAAAATAATGTTACTTTTTCGTACCTGCAATATGTCCAGAAATAATTATATTCCATATTTCAAGATATTATGTTATGAATCTTTCTATTTTCTAATATTAAAAATTTTTTTAGATCTATCTATTAATTGCTTTATTTAATTATTTTACATATTGATGTACAGTACTTGTTTTATTTATGTTTATTCTGATATTTGTTTTTTATTTATATATATTGTTGCCTAATATTAAAATGTCTTCAATATAATATATCGCAATATCATATCTATCATTAAGTTATACTTATTCAATAAAAATATAATATTTTAATCTGTAGTTTAACTGCAATTTCCAGTTATTTTAGAGTCACAGATTTAATCATTTTAATTACAAATAATGTAGAAGAATATTAACATATATTTACTATAAGAAATTTTTATTTGATAAATAAAATATTAATTATTCAATGCATTATATTTCATTATAGAAACTATAGAAATATAATAGGCCTATAATAAAATAATTGAAGCTTTTAGATCTAAGTAAATTTTAAAAATTAACGTAAATATTAGCTCGAAACTTAATATTTTTATTACAATAGACATAAATTTAACAAGTATATACAGTAGATAAACATATTTTAAAAAATAGCTTTCTTAGATAAACTCTATAATTTATTTTATAATTTAGTCTCATGAAAGTAATGACTAATCAGTCAAGTTCAGAGAGAGAAATTTTGTTTAGATTGAAAGGCCTAATAAAGTAATTTTAAATCATGATAAAGGTAAATGTGTATTTTAATATAGACTATTTCACTTTTGCTTACTGCATTCAAAAATTTGGTTTAAAATTTGTTTTAGCCTAACACATGCAGCTAAAAATTTAATAAAATTAATAGTTTATAAAACTATAAGGATTAAAAGCAGTTTATTCATATAATAAGTAAATTCGTTCGACTTCATATAACTCATTCATATCTTAAGTAGTTCAAGTTATAGCAGTTTATAATAATAACTTTTTTATACTAAGTATGATAGACTACAATTAATAATCAATAAAATTTAAAATTTTATTTAAACTATAAGTCTAGATCTATAATGAAAACAATATTAACCCATATTATATTTATTAAAATGATATTTTAATCGAAGAAAATTTTCTTATCTCTTCTGTTCTTTTGAATACATTATTCAATGGAAATTTAGGATATATTTATAATTTAAAAGAGTAAATTAGAGGCTAATCTATAAATTTCTTAATATAAACAGATTTAAAGTAGAATATTAAAATTTATAAATTAAAATTTTTTAACATAGCTGCATAAATTTTGCAAATTTTCACTCCAGACACTTCAACCGATTATTTATTTAAAATAGTAAAATATAAAAAAATATATACATATATATTATGACTGCATTGATATAAATAAATCATTTGAACTTAATAATCAATTACAATATGTAAATTAATTTACAAGCTACATTTAAAAAATAAATATATGCTTTTATAGTTATAGTCTTTAATTTTATTCAAATTTTATGAAGTAGGCCTATAGGCCTGTTTTAATATTAGTTTAAAAAATTCAAATAAAGTTTAATTTATTTAATGTTTGCAAGAATGCAATATATTATAGACCAGATAAGAAAAAATTTAATAGATTGGCTTATTCACAGACCAATTACAGTATATTATATTTTCCTAGTAGTTGTTTGTATAGAAACTTACATAATTTGCTTTTATTGACTGGTTTAAATGAACTATAAATTATTTTAAAATTTAAAAATATATTAATAATATTTCTCTATATTTTATTTCATATAACATTGAAGATGATCTATTTTAATATAATTAAATTTTTATTTATTTTATTCATATGTGACTTTCGATAGACTTCATATGCTTTTTAATAGCATTAACAAATAATCTCAAAGCATTAGATTATATATGACTACAGTACTTTATTAGTAAAATTTATCAACGTCTAAACCTGCTCAGAGCTGCCTCATAACAAAATAGTTACAATAATTAAGTTATAACATAAGATCATGTTAAAATGTGTATAAATTTTTTTGAAAGATATTCATATATTTATTTTTTTATTTTATTTGTTATTTGTTTTCAGAAATTGGAAATGATCTAATTAATAAGAACTAAAATTTATATTAAAGTTTTGGATATGTAGTAGCTCAATAAATAAAAAATACGTGATATTTCAATAGGAATGTAATAATGCTTTCATAAAAAATTAAAAGGATTATCTTTATTTTGCTCATTTTTTGTATAAGTATGTAATTAAATGTAAAAAAATATATGTTCATAAATATAATAGAATAATAGCTCTCGATAAAATAGTTGTTGCTCGATAATAATAGAGCAAATCAAGTATGAAAAGAGCAAGTTTTTTAGTAGCCTAAAAAGTGCAGCGTACGCTCCTGTTGTGATTTTTTCGGGAACAGGTTTCATTGTTGTCAATCAATAGCAACAATGAAATATATTTTTTACAACTCACCGAGGGTGAAAAAAACATTTCATCCCCTTACCCAGGGTTGCTTTTTTCACCGCTCTGTCTATCTTCATTTGGGAGCTACGATTGGTTCCCCGTTTCCCAAAGGATCCATCCGCATCCAACACACTACTCTAGTTGCTTGGGTGGCGATGCACGAGCTAGTTCTTGCCCCCGCCCTTCGGGTGAGCTACGTCATTAGCTACTCTACCTAGGAGTAACACCCAACACGTGGGGTGAGGCAACCAATCAGAACCGAGATATACGCAGTGACGTGACGTCTCTTTCCCCCATATACGGACAGCGGCAAGATAACACTCACTTTCCCCACCCTTGCCGTATTCTGGGGACGGGTTAAATCGAAGAGAAGCTCCAACAATATCAGAGAACGGTTGAGAGTACGAAGCATCGTTCGGCCGATCGTTCAATATAGCAACAAACACGGTAAGTGTGCGAAAAGAACCTTGTCTGAAAAGAATTGCATGTTTTTCACGTTAGGGAAAAAGGGCAAAAACGAAACATGTCGAGAGACTGGGTTAGGAAACCGAAAGCGTGTAGATTGCGCCCTCTAGTTGCAGAAGCGGGAGATGTTCCTTCCCGCCGTGCATGTCGGTGTGCGGTGCTGATGTGCTGTATGCACAGTATGTAGTGAGCGGCTATCAGTCCTTCAGTCAGTCAGTCGGGAGATGTTGCTGAGTCAGCCAGCGGCGCCAGCGATACGGGAGACAGGTGTGGACCTATCGTCGTTCGGAGGACAACTAGTATGTTACTTTGCCTTAGTTATCACTGAATAGTATTAGTTAGAGTGGTGCAATATGTCGAGCTGTTGTGGTGTTATGTGTTGGCTGTTTTGTGTGCTGCTCAAGCAGGCCGTGCTGGCCATCGAAGAGTAAAGCGTGCACCGATGAAAGCGTAAGTTCCTGCGTCAATAGCAGGTCGCTTCTCCGGCACTTTTACTTGTCCGTTCGAACTTTTTCTGATCATGCTCATCCTTTACGCTTTATTTCCCATATCTTTATTTATCACCGAGAATAAGAAAGGATTTATTTGTTTATTTTTAAAATATACATTTCTCTTAAAATGATTTTTTATCATCTTCACTAAACTGTACGCATGAGTAATTTCGATTTTATTATTATTATTTTTTTAAATATTTACCTTAAAAATTTAATTGTAATATAAGAATTTTATTTTTTTATTAATAAGTTCCAATCATGTAGGCTGTTTTATATAGTTCGGATAAATGATACATGAGAACTTCAGGAGTTTTTCACTGTGCATTTTTATTTGTAAAATAAAATTAGAGAAGTTATTTTCATTAACTCTCGGCTTAAATTTATTTAATATTAGGCTACACGGAATTGTTTAATTAGATTCGAATAGGAAAAGATTCCATAGTGGAATTACTTGGCAGCTGCTGCGAGAAAAAATTTTAGAGTTAATTCAAAAGAGGAAAATCATTATACTCATTACACAAATCAATTTATAAAGTCTTATTATAGAACATGTTTGGAGTTATAGAAAAATCATCACCATAGCAACCATGACAACCGGTGATAACTTTGTTGTGATATTTTTATTTCTTTGCAATATTTTAATGGATCGAGTCGTTGACCTATTCTTGAAACCGTCCCTTACTAAACCATCTAAGTAATAATAATAGTTTTAACATTAAATTTTATATCAGTCCGTTTACATTTATGAATATATTTTTAAGACACAAGAACAAAATACAATTCAAGTGTTTCGTAGAATAGTATGCATCCAGTGTAACTTTTTCTCATTATCTTTTTAAGCAGCAATATAATTTAGTTTTACTGTTATATGGTTGTTAGATATCTCTTTATTTTCAATTATTCACCTACCAAATAACACATGTCATATTTTAAAACAAATTTTTAAGTATTATTCTCTCATGTATATACTTCTAATAGAAGTAAAATGTAATATTAAAAGTATATTTATTGCATATTTAAATAACATATTGCAATTAACGACTAAATGGGCCTATGGAAACTAAGTCGAAGTGTTTCGATTTTATATTTATCTAGAAAGTAAATAAAGTAATAATACTATTCATAAATATCAAAATAATTAAATCCAATAATTACAATGTTTAACAATTTATAATGATTTTTATATATAACTGGCATAGTAATTTTTTATTTAATGAAAGGCTGTATTAATCATACATCTATAAAATCATACATATGTATTTTAAGAAGATAGCCATGTGTTTATCTAAAAGCATATTTATGTGGCATATTCATTTTATAAATGGGTAATGCAAACATACTTATTTCTAGTTTTTGATTGTTTGTTGAATTAAATCAGGTGAGCAAATTATGTAGCATGTATGATTAGATGTAATATAAATAGAAACAAATTCTCTACATAACTGTTTAGTCTGCAGTTTATTAAATAAAGAAATAAAATTCCAACAAAAAATATGAGAAAAACCAATTAATAATTGATAATTTTAAATATAATTTAAACAAAAATCAGGAAATAAAAATGATTTTTTAATGAAATTATTCTCAGGCATGCTTAATAAATAGAATAGAACATTTTTATTTTATTTTAGAATCGATTTCAAATTTTGAAAATGTTTTTGAAAAAAATAGTAGTCTGCTTAGAAAATATTCATTTAAAAATTATTTGAAGCATTGAATTCTAATTGAAATTGTTAATACAGTCTTAAATTGAATAGCTATTATTTTAAAAGATACAAAATTGAAAATCAGATTAAAAATTTACACTTTGAAATTTATTTATTATAATTGCTAATATGTTTAGTAGCTTTCATGTCAATCATTTATTAAAGCAAGTCAATCATAAATCTATTCTTATTCCATTAATAATTAACTGAAAAAGTTTTTAACAATAAAATTTCGTATTAGATTATGATAATGATAAGTAAAGATTATGCTTAATATTATCTTAAATATATATTTTTGAGTTAAAAAATAAATTTTATAGAAAAATAGTTTTATTTTAGTTATAGAATTACTCCACTTCAGCTCGGACATTTTCATCCAAAATATTTTTACTAATTATTTAATCACTAAGTTATATATATTTTGCCTCTATAAGTAAAACGTATGAAATACAATTTTAATATTTTACTTAAAATAATTAATAATTTCGATTGTTAAAATTAGATTATTTTTACAGACATGTTAGCAAAATTATTTATAATAATTAAACAAAATGAATAAAATGAATAATTAATCATATTCAGAATGTTAATAGTCATGAAAAATTGAATTTTTCAAGAAATATTTATATAAATTTGTTTTTATTGTGAAAAATAGATATTCAGATTTTCAATGGTCTTGAATAATAATAATAATACGTATATTTCATGTCTATCTTTCATATAAAATCCATTAAGATACAAATAAAAATAGCCCATTACTTGTAGATTAAAATAACTATGTTATTAAAATGTAATTCATTTTATTATACAGTATATATATATATATATAAATATAATCATACAGTATAAATATTGTTAATTGCTCAGAAGATTGCTTCTCTATTATAAAAATTTATATTTATAGTCAAGATAAATAGATAATTATGTATGATTTAATTAGTTCACATAAATTAATTTGTTTAGTTTTAAATATATTCAAATCAACAGTATTTCATAATTTTCAAATTTATAAAATTGTAGCAGAATTTTATTTAATTATATTTTCAAGAAATGTTATTGGATTGCAATATCTAATTGATAAGATATAATATATTTTATCAATAAAACATTTATAGGTTTACATATTATCCTCTGACAGCAATTGACTGTATAATATGTATTTAGTATAGTCAAAGTCGAGTTAGAAATAAATATTTCGAAAATTAATAACAAATGGGATATTAATTATAAGGTAGGCAATAAATTATATCAAGTAGATTAAATATCATATTGAATTTATTCACTATTGAAATATGGTTTAGTATCAGAATAATTCTATATTTCCTTTTCAAATGATCAAAATATTTATTTAAATATTCTAGAGTTTGAATTATTTAATTTGTTGGTGAATTCTAAACTTTAATATTTCTAAAGTATTTTTCTGACCCAGAGGATAATTTGAACTGAAAGGTAATTCAATGAGAATGAACTTACTTGTCTTGAAATACTGTCAAATCAGAATTATTATTATTATTATTTTTTTAATGTTAACCTAAATAGTTTATTTACGATTGCAATTGCTTAAAATGAAATTTATTTCTATTTTTCGATGATATTTTTCAATAAACAAGCCATGTAAGTTCAACTCTACTCTTATCCATAAAACTTAGTATTTTTCATTTAAATTTTAGATTGAAGTGTGTCAAAAATTCCATTCGATTCATTCTATCTATAGCGTCATCCTATATTTAATTAATATTTAATGTTTTAAATATAAAAGTATGCATAGTTTACAAAAAAATTCTGTTAATTTATTTTAATTTATTTCATTTTTAAAAATAGTAGTGCATAACTAGACACACTTATATTTTTATTGGTAAGGAATAATATCTTTTTTAAGGCAAACTGGTACACTCATCAGACCACCACACCATCGTCTGGGGCATGTATCCGAATATTTGTACCTGTATGTCATCATCATTCCAAGAGTAGCCACCAGGCCACTTCTTAAAGAAACAGACATTACTACCAGTCCAGCTTACAGTAGACTTTTAATTTCTTCAACTGAAATGGGCTTACCTTCTAATCAACCTGATTGCTTATGGGTCGTGACTGTGATTTATGCAACTGGCTTTTTCTGCTGATAATGCAGCCATACCCACCATATAAAAATGGATGGTTCTACAAAGTACAGTCAGTATTTAGTTGATGGTCATTTAGTCCGTGATTGCCCTTCCCACTACCTGTGATATTGTTTTGGTGGGTATGGTGCCTAAATAGGATCAGATGTCAGCGCAGAGGATCTGCGCAGCATCAGTCTTCTAGTCTGTGATGCTGTGATGCCTCATATAAAAAACTTCTATTTTTGCAAAGATCCGGACTTCTAAGAGAAGAAAGAAGTATTTTTAATAAAGTTACGCCAACTTCGTTGAAGAGTGAAGATTTGAAAGTGTGTGTGGTCAGCGCCACTCACAGTACTAGATGTATTTAAAACCAATCACCGGATCGCTGCAACCAACAGAGTTTGAAAGGACAAAAAACTAAAATTGTGTACAGCCTTTCCAGAAGTCCGAGTTGTGCTTGTATTGTTGCTCAAGTGCCTGACTTTGGCTTCCGAACTGTATCAATTCTACTTATTACTGTGCACCTTCCATGGAGCAGCAAGTCCGAGAATATTTGAACCACTGCCTTGTACCCGTGACTTCAGAAGCCGCTGCATCAGTTTCCGGTCCGGGACCAGGCCCTGGTCCTGGGCCAGGACATGGTGGACCTCCACCTCCACCAGGCCCTGCTGGATGCATGGGTAATCGTATACTCTCTCGGAATGCAAACGGAACAAGTAAGTTTTTGGGTGTTTTTGATTTTATCTACACTTTCGCTAATATATTTAAATTCATTTTGTATAAACTATAGATTATTAATATTTTAGAAACCAATAAATATAGTGTAGATAACACATTACTGGAAAGAGACTAATAATCAGTTATGTACTTGAAAATTTTATCAAAAAAGTGACTAACACCAAGTTCAAATTTCTTTTATACTTTCATTTCAGTTTGTAGCATTTGTTTAGAAAACAGAAACTAAAATGATTCAATAACTAAATTTTCAAAAAATACAAAATTTTTAAAATTGCAAAATTTTAACGAAAACTTATTTATATATGTTTAATATTGTCTGCGTATTCAATTGCAATAAAACTTCAATTTTTATAGCTATATTTAAAACATGTGGAAAAACCTAATTATTCGGATTTCAAGGGATAGAATTTTCATTGTACACAATGCTTATTAATCTATATTTTTTAAAAGATATTCAATTTTGAAATGAAACTCGTTGAACATTAAAAACTATTTATTTTAAAAGACTTTTTTATAAGCTAGATTGTTTATAAAATCCTGTCAATACTTGCTTATATATAAGCGAAATTGTTTTATTCTTGAAAACATGAAGCTTTCTTCTTTGCAATTATCATAGCTTTTAAACTTTTTATGTTTCTTCTGAAAATTTTGTCTATTATCATTGGAATTATTCTTGATAAACATTAATTGCAAATAGGCTTATTTTATGTAAAAACAAGTAAAAGTAGATAAAAAAAATCCCTGTTTTTATTTCAGACTTCGTTCCTTTACTGACAAAAATAAATCCCCGAAAGACTTTAATTTAATTAGACATATTTTTTAAAATTTATATGAATATCAAAATATATATTTATGTAAAAATCTTGTTATGGAACCAAAAAAAATGATTTTTCTTTAAATGAAAAAATATGGCTGGTTCATTAATTAATTCATTTGTAAAATAATGAATAGGCAAAAAAAATATTGTCTTGAACTATATTTAATGTGAACTTCATCCTATTTTTATTTATATTTTTCTTGCTTAGAATGAAGCAAAAATATCTGTATTCACTATTGATATGATGTTTATTTAAATATTATTAAAGCCTTTAAATATTATGAAATATTTAAAGGCTTTAATTTTGCTAATTTTCTTAAAATTTCTCAGTTATATTCATAATTTCATAGGATACATAATTTACATCTTTCATTTTAAATTTGACTTATTTTTTAGTAAGAAATATTTAATTCTTAGCTTCCTGATTTATGATTGAAAATGAGATATTTGATTCAGCTGATATATATTATAATCTATCAGTAACATCAATTATAGTAATTAAAATTTTTTTTGAATGTTTTTTTAAAGATAGAAATAAATGTTGTAAAACATGCTATCATTAGATTTTTCTAACACTTTTTTTTAATATAAATTTAAGCCTATATTAAAATATTTAGAACTATGATAACGATGTGGATCTGGAAATCCTTTTAAAAAACGTGTTTTTAATAGTAATTCAGATTTATCGTTGATCATTCAGACAACGTCTAAATAGATCAATAGATCAATGAAAAGGTAATCTTCTTTTTAATATTTTAATAAATGAAGTCTATATAAATATAAAATAAATTTTCGACACAAATATTTTCCTTCAGTTCTAGGCTTATACTTGTTTTAGTGTGAAACATTAACATTTTGAAATTTACTTTCAAGTTTTTTTTTTTTTTTTGTTTTCATGCAGTATTTTGAAGCTAATTTTTATGCTGAATTTTTTCGGAATTTATTAGAACAAAAAAAATATATTTGATTCCTCATTGCTTATTACTATTAAGCACAGATTATTGCAAAATTTGGAGTTTTGAAATAATATATTTTATCATAATATTCATATAAAAACATGCCATTTTATCGATAATTTATAACTTGTGGCTATAAATATATATATACATAATTGTAAGTTTTATGGATAGTAAATTGCATACCGATTTATTCCCTGCTGAGAGATACCATATTTAATACACGTGTTACTTATCCACTAAATAAAAAAATGCTATTTATTATTTTAAAATATGAATAGGTAAATTCCGTCTTGTCATTCATATATTTCATGTTTCTGTTCAGAGTTTGAATAAATTCTAATAGCTTATTCTTATTTTAAGATAATCGCAAAGTCAAATGACAAATGAAAAGGCCTATGAGTAAGAAAGAAACTCAAATAGATCGTGAATCTTTATTTAAATAAGTCCGATTTAAAAAAAATAAACAAATAAGATGATAAATTAAGATATATAAAACAGATCTAAGTAGTTCGATTAATCTTTTTCGTTTAGTTAACTTGTCGTATTTGTTATTTGAAAGATAAATTGAAAATTTGATCAATCTTTCCTGAAACGTTTAAAGTATTCGAGCATATAAACAATTGACGTCAATGATTTGATCTAAATAACATTCTCTATTTGGGTATTGTTAATGAAAGACTTGTATTTGCAATTATCTTGTAAGTGTTTGCTGTTGTTAATTGAAATTTTTCAATAAAATCTTAGTACAGTATATTCTAGCATTTTAATGAAATATTACAATGGTTCAAAAAATATTTTTCATTAAAATATACTAATTTATTACAAAAATTTTTTAAAATATGCTTATATTAATGTTAAATGTGTTAGGAAAATAATAGGCCTAATATTTAAAATCAGAATTTATGTTTTATTGGCTAACATAGAATTTATAAAGATCTTAAATTTAATGTGTTCAAAAATAAAATCAATGAAATAAGAATTGTTTATTTGTAAATGCAATTAATTTTAAATGAGATGAACATATGTGATTTGTCCAAATTGAGGAGGAAAATCATATAATTCGATCTTTTTTCCTAATTGGATAAATCCAAAATAGATTAGTATATAACTTCTTTTTTTCAGTTCAGATATGGTAAAATGTAACACTTCTATATTTCTAATTAATTAAATATACCTTGCTCTTTGTTTCAGAATTTTTAAATGAATTTATAAGTAATTATTTTAATTAAATGTAGAAATTTATTTAAATAATTTAAAGGTTTAATAGTAATTACTAAAATACAACCCTAGTAATTAGTCAATAAAAGAGATAAGATTATAGATAATATACACATTGATAAAATATGGAAAGAGCTTTAATTTTTCATCATTTTAGATGAAACCTGTAAAATTTTATTTAACCTAAAGACTTTTTTGTAATATGTTTAGCAGAAAGATTAGACCTATATCTTTATTTAGATTTTTTAAATTACCGAGACTATATTAATGTTTGAATCTAAGAAAATTTACAGTATATAAAAGAAAATACAATTATATTTTTCTTTCTGATGTTCTGTTTCAGATCAAAAGTCTTACGATATTCATAAAAAGGACATAATTGGAATTAAATATAAGTATAAAACAAGTTGCATTCATAATTTTTAAATTTATTAAATTATCATAACAAGTTACACACAAAATCATTTCTTTTCGTTTATAAGAAAAAATCTCTATAAATATACTTAGAAAAATTCAAAACGAATTAAAAAAATAACAAAAACTGATTTTATTCAGTGTGAATTGCTTTTATCTTTAATTGTTTTTCTTATGCTTTATCGAAAATCCTAAAAATTAAATGTTAGATTAAGAATATGGTTGAAATAGATACAAAATATTCCTATTTATGAAATGAAATAACTTCTATGTAGCAAGATACTAAATTACAAGTTGAAGACAGAGACAAATAGAGAAAAGAAATCTTAAAATTTGAAATAAGAGCATTAATATTTTAATAAATATTTAAAATTTTCTTAAATATTTATTAAAATATCTTATGATTATCTTAAAATTTCAAATACTTTAATAAACATTTAAGATTTTTGGTAATGATTAATAATTTTCAGTTCTGAGCATCTCCGTTATACTTTTTCTGTATACAATGTTCAACTTTTTCATTTGTTATAGTTGCCTGTACAGGGATATCAATATAATTTTTCGTAAAGACCTTCAGACACATAACCATGAAAATTATTCTGAAACAGGTCTGGTTAACTTAACTAGAAAAACTGGTTACCACAAACATATTGCCAGATATATTCATGTATTGTCTTTTATACATTGCTGTAATTTAAATACTATATATATATATATAATTTTTTT